GTCTTGCAGGACAGCCTGTCCATCTTCATCTCGACTCTGCCATGGACGGCCAGCCCTCCCGAGCCCACAGTGTCCCCGTCCCCGGGGAAGGAGACAGCGGGGGCAGCAGGGAAGGGCCGGGCCCTGAGCTGAGGCATCACCCGCTCCCTCTGGCGGGGAAGCACCTCCAGGCACCACCCCGTCTCTGCTGCGGACGACAGCGACTAGGCGGGGAGAGAAGCAGACGTACCTGTCCTTGATGTGTTGGGGGGCGCCCAGGCACCTAAAGCTGCCGTCCACCATGATGGCGAGCCTCGTGCACAGGGCCTCACACTCCTCCATGCTGTGGGGGGAGGGAGCACGTCAGCAAAGCAGCGAGACGCCGGCCCGCCCACAGGTCATCTGGCACCCACAGGTCATAGGTCATCTGGTACCCGCAGGTCAGCCAGCATCCACACCCACAGGTCATCTGGCACCCACAGGTCATAGGTCATCTGGTACCCGCAGGTCAGCCAGCATCCACACCCACAGGTCATCTGGCACCCACAGGTCATAGGTCATCTGGTACCCGCAGGTCAGCCAGCATCCACACCCACAGGTCATCTGGCACCCACAGGTCATAGGTCATCTGGTACCCGCAGGTCAGCCAGCATCCACACCCACAGGTCATCTGGCACCCACAGGTCATAGGTCATCTGGTACCTGCAGGTCAGCCAGTACCCACAGGTCATGGGTCAGCAGACCTGCAGGTCAGCCGGCACCCACACCTGCGGGTCAGCCGGTTCGCAGGTCATAGGTCAGCCGGCACCCGGTCAGCATCACAGAGAGCACCTCTCAGTGGTGGGCGCCGACCCCACAATAACCAAGCGCCTGCGTGTTTCTAGCCCAGGAAGCAGGTGAGATCCGTGAGCGCCTCCAGCTACAGCACAAACTGCGACTCAGCAAGAAGGACCCTCCCAAAGCGGTGACATTTATGGAAAGAAAAAAGTTTCCTGATGGACTTAAATGAAGACATCAATCAACAGAAAGATGCATTAAAAAAAGGAAAAGAATGGATATTTTTAGAATGGGAAATTATTACAATATAAAAATTATACAAAATTATTGTAATGTAAAATATGATTGGTAACTGTCAAATATGATAAGCATAAACATTAAATGTGATTAGTAAAAAAACTGTATAAAATATGTTTACCATATATAAAAATAAATGTGATATTTAATGTACAATACAATATAGTAAATAACAATGAAACTTGTAATTATAACTCATATTGTAATATAAATTCATATTATTTTGATACAAAATATTTAATGAAGATTTATAATTTTTAACTGTATTCTTATAATTATATAAAATCTAACATCTATACTAATAAAAGCCTATGTGGTCGTCACGCCCTCAGGCCGTAACAATCCATTACCAGGAGGCTGCAGGCACGCACAGGTGGGTGGGTCCTGGTGGCTCCATGCGGCGTGGGGCAGGACCTCCGGCTCCGGCCTACCTCTTTAGGGCAATCCATCAAGGAGCCCCGGATGGGTGGGCGGGGCCTACCTCTTTGGGGAGATGGATTGCAGGGCTCCCGCACTGTGAGAGGGCAAGGCCAGGCTTGGGAACCCACCCCCACCACAAAGTGCACGAATTTCATGCACTGGGCCTCTAGTTAATTATAATAAGGCTATGGTACCATGCCCATCAACATTTTATCACTCTGGATGAGAAATTTAGAGTGATTCTTATGTCTGTCTTTAGAAGCATTTCTGAGAGGCAGGAAGACTAAGGGGAGGGGTGGGTGGCCCTGTTTAGGGACCACATCGCGTGGGGCTGGGACAGTGACAGAGGTCGTGTACCAGGCACTGCAGGGCGGTCACTGGGCCAGGAGAGGATAGCGCAGACGAGACATTAACATCTCAGAACGTGTGTGGCCTGAGGTCAGGGAGGAGGCACAGGCCTGGCCAACCCTGGACTAACTGTAGTTCCTCTCCGTATTCCCACCCGCACCTCCTGCCCCTGTGGCCCCCAGGACCAGGGTCAGGAGTGAGGAGAAGAGGGAGTCACCGGGCCGTCCTGCTGGCACGACAGGCCCTCGGACCTCTGGGTGTGGACGTGGACAGAGGCATGACCCGAGGCCACGGTGTCGCTGTGAGCAGGGGCTGCTAGAGGCACCGCAGCGGTGGGTCCTCTGAGGCAGTCGGATAGTCATGTGAAATGTGGGCGCGGGAGGGGTGTGTCATGTGACATTGGCACCCAACCTCAGAGCCCCGCCCCCCCGACCTGAGGCAGCACGGGGAGGGCAGGCGGAGTTTCCAGAATTGGCCAGCAAAGGGGTCATGTCAGGCAAGAGTGCATTTGTCACATTTAATTCATTTAAACGGGAAGTTCTATTTTCTGAAGAGCAAACACATACAGAAGTTAAAAAGGCAGAACTTCTGGTCACAACCAATGGAGAGACTGACAAGTCCCTTCCCCCAAAACAACTCTAAACCGGGCACAATGAGCAACGACAGCCATTTCCGAATCCTGCATATTAACCAAGGCGTGAGCCACCGGAGAAACGCAGTGGACACCTGCGGAGCCGGGGGAAGGTCTGAGCTGAGGCCTCCAGCTTCCCCATGTGGCTGCTGCGAGTCAGGCACGAGGACTCACAGCTGAACCACTGGGCAATGTCCACACCCCACTCCGTGGTCGGTGCCGTGACTGTCTTAGAGCCGAGGGGACGGCCGGCGCCAATGGCTCCAGCCCCGGCCTGAGCTGGGCTCCACTAGACAACACGGTGCGGCCGGGCCCACACACCTGCCAGACAACATGGTGGGGCCAGGGTGGCCCACACCTGCCAGGCTGTACCCCGTGGGCAGGGCAGAGCCTGCGCAGCCACACACTCCACGTGGTCCCCGGCTCCCCACACACGTCTCGGGGACCACGGAACCCAGGAGGAAGCAGCCTAGGCAGCTAGGAAATGCCTGGGCCCGGTGTCCTCCCTGTCCACACGCAGATCCCTACCCGGTCAGAATCCCGTTGCTCGAGGCGGCTGAGCCATCTGGGAGGACCTCAGCACCTAGGCTCATGCCCTGGCTGGCAATATGTGTTTTAGATAATGGCTTCAAATCTTTGAAGTAAAATTCAGTGAAATTATAAGCAAGAACCAAATACAAAATACCACATGATCTCACTCATTCATGGATAATAGAGACCATTATAAACTTTTGAGCAATAATAGATACAGAGGCAGTGCTGCCTCAAACTGATTGTCAAACTGCAGCGGGAAGGCTGGGGAGGGTTGGGGGGCAGGAGGGAGGGGGGTAAGAGATCAACCAAAGGACTTGTATGCATGTATATAAGCACAACCAATTGACAAAAGACACTGGGGGGTAGGGGAGGCCAGGGGATTGTCAAGGGCGGGGAAAAAAGGGACACATATGTAATAACCCTTTGAAATACTATAAGCAATAAAACCATAAAAAAAAAAAGAATGACAACATTTAGAAACACACTTGGCGGAGGCATCGGTCACTGCTCGCCCACCTCGGGGAGTTTCGGAGATTTACCCCTGGAATGGCAACCCCACACAGACCCACAACGACCCACAAACACCCTGGCAACACCAGCGCTTGGAGAGGAGAGGAGTCAGGTCCGGGTGGACCTTTAATACCTAAAACGTCCACCTCTCCGCAAACCCTAGACATGCAAGAAACAACGAATGCGTGGTGCGCTCAGGCCACGGCACAGGAGCCTTTTCCACGTGTCCCAGATGTCAGATGAGCAGGAACGCTTCAACGTGGCCCCCGGAAATGTGTCCGGCCACCAAAAGCACTATGTTTACAGAGTGACAGCGACGTCTGACAATGCCATCACATGGCCATCACAACAGAGAGTCTGCAGGGGACGGAAATGCATCTTTAAAAAGAAAGGCAGGGGAAGCTTCCAGATGAGCCGTCCCTGCAGGGCCCTGCACACCTGACGGGGAGAGACGGAGGAGAGACGCGGTGACCGTGAAGATGAACCGATAGAGACGGTCAAATCCGAGACGAGAGAAAGCAGGGCCAAAAAGAAAGGACAGAGACCCCCAGACCCGTGGGGCCCCGCGAGGCCCGCAGACACGGTCTGCACCCACCACGGAGGGAGGGCCAGAGGCCAACCCCTCTCTCGGGCCTCATCAGCCAAGCACGCAGCCCACTCGCCGGGAGCGGCTCTGTGAGCCTCACATGCAAGTGCTGCTCGGCCACGGAGGTTCTGACATCGAATCACAAGATGAATTCTGTGAGCAAGAAGCCAGGAGACCAAACTCAGAGGCTGCTGTCTTCACGTCAGCTCATCCTCCTGCTGGGGACTCGGCCTCAGACGGAAAGGCCCGAGGGCCCAGGAAGCCAGAGGCCCGGCTCTCCAGGGACCTTGGACCCAGCAGGCCCCAGGTGCGGATTCCAGCTGTGCTGCCGCTGGCCACGGCCCTGGCTGTGCGGCTCCCCTGTCCCTGGGTCAGTGGAGGGCACAGGCTGCTGTGGACACGGAGGACCCTGTGGGCAGCCGGAGCCCAGCCCCAGCCTGTGGGCCCGCAGCTGGCTCCCTGCTCACCTGTGCGAGGTCAGCACCACGGCGCAGCCCTCCTGAACTTCCTTGGTGATCGTTTTCCACAGGAACCGCTTCGAGCAGGGGTCCATCCCTGAGCTGGGCTCGTCCTGAAGGAAAGCAACAGTGATGGGTCAGGGGCCCGGCCCTGAGGAGCCCCGCTCCGGCTCCGGGGCCGCTGTCTGCGCTGCCTCACACCGTGCTCCCCACGGCACCTCCATGCCAGCTCCTCCACGGGGGGCAGGGGAGTGAGTCCCGATGTCTCTAAGACGCACCCTCAGCTGCTATTAAGCCTCAGAATGAGACACCAAGAAGGACGTATGACGGCAGGAAAAGGCTCCGTTTACTCAGCAACGTCAAGTCACGTGCCATTTCCTAGAACCCGACTTCCCCCCAACGCCAAGCACGTCCTGTTGGAGCGTCAGGGAGAGACGCTGGCCGAGTGGGAGGTCTGGCTTGTGCGGCCGGGGAGCCCCCAACACGTCTCCCAGAGCTCAGGCCGCTCTCCACGGGTGGGCGCCACGGGGATGTGTACACAGGCCGCCCCGCCAGGTGGTCAGGGCGCTGGCCTCTCCCCTGAGACTGTCCAATAAGGGACAGCAGCCAGCACAGCCACAGCGTCCCGTGTGGAGGGACCCAAGTGACACCTAATCTTTTCTCAGAGCAACAACGACACAATTCTTGTGCCACAGGACGTCACCCGTGGGTCTGAGTGCCGAGATGGAAAAGGCTGGCGACCTCCGGGCAGAGGACAAACCGGTGGGTGAGCTTCCGGGTGAGTACGGATCCTCTAATGCTGTTCTTCATGTCACAGTTTCATTGAAGCGTCAATTTGGCAATGAAAGGGACCACTGAGAAGTAAACTCACTTCCGTAAACTCCCGGGTAGGCCCCTCACCAGGTCCCCGGCCACCTGGAGGAGAGGAGTCTGTGCACAACCCACCCAGACCCCAGCCCGCCCCTCCGCCTCCCGCTGCCCCGCTGGGCGATGAGGAAGGACAGACAGGGCTCACTCCTGAGGCTCCAGGGACGCTCGGGCCTGGGAGCCCTCGGAGGGCTGGGTTGGAGCCCAGGGAGGCAGGGCGGCTGGACACCAAACAGCCCAAGTGGGGGCAGGTAGGGGGCCCGACTGGGAACAAAGCCCCGAGCCGCAGGGAGCAGAGAGGCATCGCTCCGGCCGTCCTAGTCCTGGGGGCCTCACCTTGGGGATGTGCAGCCCCGGGATCCCGCGCAGGCGGCAGTAGTAGCGCAG